AAGGAAGGAAGGAAGGAAGGAAGGAAGGAAGGAAGGAAGGAAGGAAGGAAGGATGGATCAGTCATCCCCTCCAAAGGCCTGGGCAAAGAACCAGGTCTTTAAGGCCCTTCAAAACACCAGCAGGGTGGGAAGTGTTTGGATCTTGGGGGGGACTTCATTCCAGAGGGCAGGCATTACTACAGAGAAGGTGCGCTTCCAGGGCCTCAATAGGTGGCATTATTTAATCAGTGGAACCTGGAGTGCCCAATCCTGCCAGATCGAACCAGTTGAGCAGATACTATGGAAGACAGGCAGTCCCTCAAGTAACCAGGCCCTATGCCATGTAGGGCTTTATAGGTCACGACCAGCACCTTGAATCACGCCCGGAAGGAAACTGGCAACCAGTGCAGCTCACAAAGTAGAGCTGTTACATGGGCATACCGAGGCATGGCTCTCACTGCCCGTACTACTGCATTCTGGACCAGCTATAGTTTCCAAATGGTCTCTAAGGGCAGCCCCATATAGAGTGCGTTGCAGTAATTGCGCTGTGGGGTGCCTAGGGCATACGTAGCTGTCTGAAGGGGCCCCCAATCTAGGAGAGGGTGCAACTGGAGCACCAAATGAAGCGAGGCAAAACCCTTCCTGGCCACAGCTGCCACCTGCTCATTGGGCAGGAGCTGTGAGTCCAGAAAGACTCCCAAATTGCACATCATCCTTGAAATGCAACCTTATCCAAGTCAAAGATGGAATATCCCCAGATCTGGGCAGTCCAAACACCCACAGCCACTCAGTCTTGATAGGATTGAGTCGGAGATGGTTCCTCCCCACCCAAACTTGCACAGCCTCCAGACACTGGGACAGAAACTCAACAGCCTCACTTGGCCAGCCCAGAGTAAAAAATATATAATTGGGTATTATCAGAGTACTGATGATATTGAACCCCAAACCAGTGGATGACCTCATCCAGTGGTTTCATGTAGATGTTGAAAAGTAGAGGAGAGAGAATAGAACCCTGTGGTACTCCACAAGTGAGGGGCCTAGGGGACAGTCTCTCCCCACCAACAACACTGGCTGGAACTGCCCCAGAGAAAGGAAGAGAACCACCCTAAAACAGTGCCCCCAATCCCCAGTCTATGGAGTCAGCTCAGAATAAATACCATGGTTGATGGTATTGAAATGTGCTAAGAGGTCAAGGAGCACAAGAATGGATGCACCACCACCATCCTGGTTCCATCACAGGTCATCAACAAGCATGACCAAAGCTGTCTCGGTACTAAATCCCAGCCTGAAAGCTGAAACTGGTCTAGATAATCCGATTCCTCCAGGGTTCTCATCACCTGCAGGCCAACCACCTTCTCAGCAACCTTCCCCAAAAAGGAAAGGTTGGAGACTGGTCAATGGTTATTGAAGATCATTGGTAGTCCTCATTTAGCGACCACAATTGGGACCAGCGACTCAGTCATTAAGCAAAGCAGTCACTAAGTGAAACTGTGACTGTGCTTATGATCTTACTTCAGCTTTCCTTTGCTTTACAGATCTGTGAAGATCGTAAATGTGAGGATTGGTCGCAAAGTTACTTTTTCATCACTGTGGTAACTGAATGGTTGCTAAACGAGGCAGTTGCTGAATGAGGACTACCTGTTTTCTCTATTGCTCCAGAAGGCAATAGAGCCATTGTGTTAAAATTACAAGGAAGGAGATTCAGGTTAGACATCAGAAGGAACTGAGAGTATGAACTGTAAACGAGTGGAATGGGCTGTCACATGAAGTATGAGTTTGCATTCCCTAGAAGTATTCAAACAGAGACTAGATGGTAATCTGTGAGAAATGCACCAATGGATCCTGCGCAAGTAGGGAACTGGACTAGATGACTTCTAAAGCCCCTTCCATCCTTGCAATCTTCACTTCTAGCAGCCTTCAGCTCCATAGGCCTGATGCTGCTTCCCCTTACTGACCTTGCATTTGTGAAGCAGGAGAGGGTCAGATTTTGAGAGCATGCAGGATGCTGCAGGTTTCCCATCTCAGTACACAAATTCAATCATGGGATTTCTGATTCCATCCTGTTTGCACTGTATTTGTCTGTTCCCTTGATCCACCTTGTCATCCTTCTGAATGGAAATATCTGTGTTCTTTTTCATCCCAGATTGCAGAGAAAGGGGTAAGCCAACAACTGCCGTTAATCTCGGGAGCAGTATGCAGGTGCAGGTAGGTTGGGGATTAAAACAAAATCAGATTTTTATTTAAATCATGAGGATCTTTCCCCTCCATCCTTCCCCCACTCCCCATAAAGGACCTTTTTTAGTATTAACCCTTCTCATTAATTTCATGTGGGATACCTACTTTGCTGATAGGTGCCAGGCATAGAAAGCTGCCTTTTATCAAGTAATTCCACTGGATCATTTGACTCCAGATTTTCAACACTGATTAGCAGCAGCTTTCTAATTTTACTTAGAGATAAACAGGGTAGAATATGAGCCATTCTACTTGTAAAGTATTTGTTTTTCCACTGAGCTATAGCCATCTATAAATCTAATTGACTGATTCATTTACACAGAATGCCAATAAGTGGTTCCTTTTCTTCCTTGCACTTTCCTTCCTTCTCAGCTTGTTGCTCAGCAAGCCACAACTGGGAGGGACAATTAAATCAAGTCTGCCCTGCTGGGAATCCTACATTGCTCCCTCTGGCTCACCCAAACTGGATTGTCCTGTTTGTCATTTACAGCACATGCCATTAGGGTGACTCCAGCAGCTTCTTGGTGGTCTCTCAGTATTGTACTGCATTCTGGCATGGAACATTTGGACAAACAGGGCCTTTCTTTTAAAAAAGGGCTTTTTTAAGCAATGTCAGTCTCCCAGGAATGCTGCTTGCCTTAATGTGTTACATTTGTGCCGGCTTGTTTCTGTTATACCTCCAGTACTAATTTTCTTAATTGTCTGTCATCTTTAAATTAAAATGAACAGACAGCTAGCTAATGGAGTGTTTAATCTCTTTCTTGGGAGAATATGCCTCTCCTAGTTTTAGTTTCTTAAAGAGACCAAGGCTGGGACTCAAAATTCATCTCCTAGCATCGTCTCCTTGGCTTTTTTCATCTTGACCTCAGGTGCGGAACTACAGGAAGCTGTTACAAATTTCTGGCTGAGGTGTTTCCTGCCTATGAGGTTGAAATAGGCAAGGTATCCCCATTCTCTCCTTTTATCATGTCCACACCTTTCTTTCTCTGTATAACTAGATGGGTGCACACATTTGTCTGGATTGCTACAAAACCTCTGCACTCACATATGTTCTCCAGCACTCCTGATTTACTGGGAACGTGCATGAAGTTTTGCTGGTGGTCCCCAATAAATCATTGTTTTTATTTAGTTCCATATTTACCTTGGGGGATCTTTGGGGGGGATGGTTTTTTCCCATTATATATGGATGAGCATTAAGGCTTTGTTAAGCATCAGCATCTCATTGGCCATGCTGCAGCTTCCAGCATTCATTAAAATCACAGCTAGGATAACATCTTTATCAAAAATAATAAATAATAGTACATTTAAATCCAGGACAAGAAATAAATGAACAGGGGATACAGAGAGAAGACATTATTAATGGGTAAAAGGATGAATGGAACCCACCACCACTTTGGGTGTTAGAATCAGATTGGAGAAAGCTGCTTAATACCAACCTAGATTTTTTGTCTATTGAGCCCAGTGGTGTCTATCAGGTCCTTTTTCATGCAGATGCCAGAAGCTGAACCACAACCTTCTGTGTGCAAATGATGACCTCTACCAAGGAGATATGGGGCCTCCTGAAAGATATAATGGGGGGAGGTCTCAATTTGTGACTCTTGCTTTGAGAGTAAGAGTATTAAGTATATAAATAAGCCCTAGTTTTGTAAATATACAACAGTACTGATCCTGTATTCATTTGTGGACTTGTGTATATATAGTATTTGTGATTTTAAAATCTTCCTTTCTGGCTCATATCATACATGTACACATACCCATGCACACGTGCATCACACACACACAATTCTTTTTGCATAAGTATATGGTGTATATTTTATTGTTTCTTTCTTTCTTTCAGTTTCACTTCCCTCTGTAGGTCTGTGGCTGTTCATCTGGCAGACAGCATGGAGATTATACCATCCTTCAATTTTCCATTTTCCCAACTCACGGGAAATTTAGCATCTGTGGCTCCCATCATACTCGTGATCCTTCTGCTGGTTCTTTGCTCTCCCTTTAAAAAGTATGTGACTGTCTTGGGATGTCATGGGTGGAGAAGGGAGAAATGGCAAGAGACAATTAGCAGGCAGGATGTACATTATTGAGATAATGGGTAGGTTACTTGCTCCTTAACTTGCTTTTTTTTTTTTTTTTACTTTTTTCTTTCAGACATTCATTCAACCTACAAACATGGAACTTGGGCATGCATGGTCACTCTTCTGACCCATTCAGATATTCATGTCACAAGTGAAACAATTTATTACTGAGTCAGATAATTAGTTCTGTATTATCTGCTTACCCCAAATTAGGGAATAGAGAGCTCTCCCTCGTGCAACAATTATTTTTATACTTTATTAATATTCTACCTTTCCTCTAAGAAGAACCCAGGAGTGGAATACCAAGCAATAAGAGTGCAGTATTGCAGTACATCAGTTAAAACATCTAGAAAAAACAAAAAGCAAATATACATGTCAACTGGCAACTATACTGTAATGCAACAAATGTTGCATTAAAAATATTTTGTTTCTAGCACAGTATTATCTCAATAATGGTCTGAATAAACAAATGTGCCCTTAAGTGTTAACTAAAATAAATTTGGGACCGCTGCTGGAAGGCCTTTTGGACCATGTCCTCTGATAGCCCCATAACTGGAACCTTCTTGTTCAATCAGCTGGTGTGGGGTAGGGACTTGTATAATTTTCCCCAATAAAATTATTGTATGTAGTTTGTGTATTCTTATGTGTATCTCACCAACGTGGTGTTTAGCCCACTAAGAAGCACATTTCTGTGGGCCACGTTCTACACTGGAAACAGCATGTGATATGGCACTTTAAGGACCAATGCTTTGTGGTATAAGATGTAGTAAAGCAGATTCTGCATTGTTGGATCTGTGGTAAAAGAGATCCTAGTGCAGCCTTTTGTTCTTCTAAATGTATTGCATTAATGAGCCATGCTGAGTGGGAATTGTGGATCCGCACATTTGGAGAGCACTAGATTGCTCCAGGCTATGTGACTTCTAAAAGTCTTAACATGATAGCCTCAAGAGTCATCTGAACATTCGTGTGTGTACACTGAAGATACTTCCTCTTGGATTGCCACTAAAGTGAAGTGTCTGCTGCATGGCTAAGTTTGTAGGTAGCTCCTTACTTAGTTGCTGGATATCCTGAGTAGAACAAAAATTCAGCAGTAGAGGATTCTTTGCATGCATTATACTAATACATTATACTTCGCATGCATTATACTAAAACTATAATTCAGTTCCTGACATCTCTTGTTGGGTGTTAAATACTCCTACCTCAAACCCTGCTGCTGGGGAATTCTGGGAGTTGAAGTCCACTCATCTTAAAGTGGCCAAGTTTGGACAACACTGCCCTAGAGGGTCACTCCAATTTGCAAACTACAGAGCAAATTGGATCAGTGCTCTCACTTGTATATTATAGCTTCTTTTACTGAGGTCTGAAATAAATTATCTGTGTTATTATGAGCGTGCAGTGCCTTCACAGTCAAACTTCTGTGTTTTTACTCAGGAAAAAGCGGCATTTGTCAACCAGAACTGTGAAGAGGGACATAAACACGTCTGAGCTACTCAATATGGTGAGTGTTTCTGAGATTGCTGTTAAATGCAGATTGAACAAATTGACCAACCCTTCTAACCAGTGTAATGAATTGGGATATTTACAGTTATAATGATGGCAGCTGTTCTTACTTTTTGATCACAGCCTGAATTACTGGGTTTGATCCTTACATTCATTTTACAGAGTGGGTGCTGCTTTCCTGTGTGTTGCAATGAAATTATATCAGTTGTGCAAAGAAGCAGGGCCTTGCTGGTTGCAGCCTCAAAGTTATAGAATACATTTCCCAATGCATTTCGTATATATCTTTTAGCAGAGGAAAAAAAATCCCTCAGAGAAAAACCATAACAAAAATTCCCTGCGGAGTAAAACTTCAACAACAAGAGTTGGATGAACCAGTTCAGCTGATACATTTAAAAAGTCCTGGAGAACTGAAAGATTTTTGGCTAGCAAATCTCCCTGGGGAAAGGAATGTTATATAAAGGGTGCCACCATTAAAAAGGCTCTTTTTCTAGTGGCCATTTTTGTAAACCCAGAAGATAAGAGCATCTGGCAAAGGTCCCTTGATGGCAATTTTATTTCCAGATTTTTCAAGAAAACCACCAGTTACAGACCTGTAGATATTTCAGTTTTGTTATACTATACATATTCTCTTCATTACTGTAGGTTTTAAGCTGACCTTTGCTTTGGAGAAAGGGGCCATGTACAGTGAAACTGTTCGATCGTTGTTTTGATCAAAGTGGTAGCCCTGATACTTCTTAACTGCAGATTTGGGCTTCATGGAGAGTTGAGTTTTGCCTTGTTATTCTTTAATGAGAGGCTGCAATCTGTGCAGTATTTCTAGCATGTTAAATTAAGAAAAAAATTATTTCTCTGCATGTTTCAGTGTGTCCAGTGATGTACGTGAGCCAGGAAATGCTCTCAAAAGTGTCCTGAGTGTTGCTAAGACTAGTGAGATACAACTCTCTGACGTAACATGGCTGTGCTCAGTTTCCAGGCTGCCCCTCTCATTGGCCAAGTAGTCACTAACGTGGACTCTTCTATAAGTTTGTTCTACTCCTCAGAAAGGCATGTTGGAACTCTTTGTACCCTCTAGGTGGCAATAGACACTCAACAATATGACCAGCCTCAGAGCACATGAAGAAAGCTTTCAACTTTTTAAAATATATTATAGGGTATGTGGAACTAGCCATCTAGTTCATCAGCATGTGGCTCTGGAATAAAACAGCAATGTATCCATTTCAATTTTATAAAGGTGATCACCTCTCCTTTTCCCAATTTCATTCTGCAGATGAGTTACACTGCTGCCATTACAGCACCTGGTACAGGCAGCGTAGTAAATGAATGGATATGTAGTAATGCAGCATAAATGGGAATTGTTGTTGGATTCATTTTGTTTTGTTCTGATAAACGTTGCCCAGAAGAATTCTAAACTGATCTATCCTTGGTTGGAAAATGCTTCCAAATTAGCACCAGGTAGAATTCTGTTCTACTGCTTTTATTGAACAATTGTTCTAGGATGGTGCTCTCTTGACCAGGTAGTAACTGCTTAGCACTTCCTCAAGATCCAAGAATCTAAATGTTATCATTTTTAAGTCCTTTTATATTCTTGCAGCTGCTAGCAGCAGAGGAGGTGGAGTAAGTTGTACAAGTTCCCTTGATGCTGCTGTCAAGAAGTGATGGACGGTGAATAGAACTTAGACCTTTTGGCTTGTGTAGCAGTCCAAAAGCAATCACAAGAAGACTCTTTTGACTGTTTCTTTGCAGAGCTACAGCCCCACTCAACAAACCTATTAGGCTTTATTTATCTCCTTAAAAAGGTTTTTGCCTATATGGCCTTATTAAGCCCTCTGTTTAGCCAGGCTGCCTTATTTGCGTAGGAGTTGAGAATCTATACCTTGACTGTTAGTCTGTTTGGTTTCTTATACAGACAAAACTGGAAGATGGGTTGCCTCTAGAAAGGAAGTCTCTTGCAGATCAATGTTTACGCAAAGGTAAGGTTTCATTTCAGGACATGAAATGCTTTGGATACTTAAAATAGGCTGTATGTAACAAAGTGTAAATAAGTAATCTTTTTGCAATACACATTGCACAAGGAATCCCATAGACTTGCAGCTTTCTTCCCAAATTATTGTCATGGTTCAGGCATCAGAGGCATCTCAGTTTTTTTCTGTCTCGTTTCTTTTCCCTACAGGCACATAAGAATTCCACTTACCTGCATTTTCTCAGGAGTTGTATTTTTCTCTATCTTAAGCCTTCCTCAGTATGCAATAAAAGGCATGTGAGCCTCAGTGGAGTTGGTCACTAGAAAGAGAGTAACTTGAACATGCCCTGAGTGAACTTTGCCTACTGAGTAGATGTCATTCACTCATATCAGGAAAGCACAGTATGACAATTTGCAAATTTCCAAGATTTATTTCTGGTAGAAATGAGTATCTTCCCTCTCTAGGCTAGACTAAAGAGTATTAAGTTAAAATTTCTATTTACTGTGTGTTTTGAAAAAGTTACTCCTTTTCAGTCTGAATCCATGAAGCTTTTATGAAAATGAAAGAGGCAGGAACTAAACTGAGCATGAGCTTGTCTTAAGGAAGTGGGGATTACAATAACAAATCAAAGATTGCAACAGAAACACGTGTAATAGATTTACTTCTGCATAAGCATGCATAGGATTGAGCTGCAGAGGGGAATATTTTGTAATGGCTAGAGCAAGAAGACATGTCCTGTTCTCCTATCCGGTTGTACATAAGCCTGGCCTTTATTGCGACGGAGGAGATTTTGCTAATACAGGTTGTTGTTGTTCAGTCGTTAAGTCGTGTCCGACTCTTCGTGACCCCATGAACCAAGGCTAATACAGGTAGTCCCTGGGTTAAGAACTCCTGGGTAACAGAGGACCCATACAGAGCCTACTGTAGCAAAATCTGAGTTAAATACACAATGATTCGAGTTCATTACACAATACTACTTACATACAAATTCGACTTAAGGACAGACTTTGGGAATGGAACTCGTTCTTAAACTGGGGACTACCTGTAATTTTAGAAACCTCTTTGAAGTTGTTACATACAGGTAGTCCTTGGGTTATGACATCAGTTGGGACCGGGAACTCTGTCACTAAGCAATGTGGTTGTAAAGCGCTATGTCACATGACCATGCTGCTAGCAATGGCAGTTCTGGCAATTCCTGGTTACCATCATTAAGCAAGAACCATGCAGGTCATTAAGTGAGGACCTCACATGATTGCAACTTCCTGCCAGCTTTCCCATTGACTTTGCTTGTGAGAAGCTGGCATAGAAGTTCTCAAATCATGATCACATGATTCCGGGATGCTGCAACGGTTGGAAATCTGGGCTGGTTGCTGAGCACTCAGATTGTAATCACATGACCTGGGGGTGCTGTGACAGTCAGAACTTTGAGGACTGGTCATAACTACCATTCATTCAGCGCCACCGCAAGTTTGAATGGTCTCTGAATGTGTAGTCGTTAAACGAGGACCACCTGTACTATGCTTCTTACTAAGTTAAAGGACTCCTTTCTTTTTACTTTTTCTTCCTACAAAAGATGCTAGAAGCCCCACATAGAATATTTTGGTCCATGGCAGTGCAAAGAACATGACATTAAACTAGTTGTGCAGATCAACCTTAATTTTAGTAGAGAATGTGTGACTCTTCAGAATAGCCAGAAGAGGGGTAACAGTCTTGTGAAACAATTGGGCCATCTAAACTTTGATGACAATCTCCTTTAATGGGGGTTCACGTGAATCTTCTCCTAACAGGTTGGCCAGCCTATCTGTGCAGTTTCCATGTGTTCCATGTGCATGCCCTGTCAGAGACTCTTCTCCTGTTTAGCATGATGTTTCTGCTACTGAGGTAGCTTTGGCTTCATTGTACAGCTCCCAGGTCTCAGGAATAGGCAAACTCTTTATTTGCAGCTGCAAGACAGTTGACAATTGGGCTGTGCCTAAGCCTTGACAGAGGATCAAGATTGATTATATCTGCCTATTGTTTAGCAAGCATTTGTCCTTTCTATTGCTAATCATGTGTAATCTCTTTATAATGTTTGTAATGTCTTTATAAACAGTAAGATGGATTGGAGTTTGTTGTGTTGTGTTGCTGTAATTAAGGCTTCTTTCCCATGAGCTCTGGAAGTGGAGGGTACAAAGTGGGCAGGAGGAGAATTGCATTTCAATAAGGAGCAGTCTTTTGGCCATCTGAATAGAACGTGGATCACTTATCACTGGTTTCTAGCTATAACTTTTTCTGAGTTGGCTCGCATGTCTTGAATCCTTAGAAATGCTACATGATGTGCCTGGGTTTTTTTTGGAAAAAGGAGATCTGCTAGAATTTAAATCTGAGTGAAGGCCTCTTCTCAGAACTTTTTTAGCTCCCCGAAGGCCACTGGGATACAACTCTTCTGTTTAGTAACATGAACCAAGGCCAGGATAAGCATGTGCTGCTCTCTGGACTTGACCATGCAAAGGCTAAGGAGTTGAAAACTAAAACTCTGAAGATTAACAGGTTGCATTATCTCTGCATTAGAAATTGCCCACTGCTCTGCCTTTGGCAGAGTTTCAGACCTCTCAATTTAATCTTCCTAAGGGCCTTTCCCTCCTTGTTTCCTATCTTTGTACAAACATCCCCTGGCAACATCTTTATTCTGCCATGATACTTAGCTCAGGCTTGAGACAGCCTGTTTGTGGTTAGCTGTACTGGAATTGACATATTCCTGTTTTCCTCTTAAGTCAGCAGCAACCAGTGGCAGTTTAAGGGTGAGGGCAATGTGTCATGCTTCCTGTCCATGTTGACATTGGATGGCCCATAGAAGGCAGGAAGAGCCCACCACCTATTTGTCATTTGGGTGGTACTTTACATGCTCCTCCCCTGGAGCCCATGGCACTGTCCTTTGTGTCCTTTTTCTTCTCGAGGGGAATAGAACAGAGGAGAGCTACCAGGGGCTTCATACTTAAAGCTCCTTACAACCACTGGACAGCTAATATATGGCGTGGAAGGGCTGCATTGTAAAGACTGCTCTACCAGGCAGCATCTTCACACACACAAGCTGTTGGGTGGCTTCCTTTAAGAACATTTAAGAGCAGAACAGCTGATCTGTGGGATATGACTGGTTACAGGGAAAAGTAATCTCTCCTGTTTTACCATGCAACACCCAATTAGCTGCAAGCCTAGCACCTGACTGGTGGTGTGGGGGAGGCCTACTGGTGAAGAAGGAGTGTCTGCTTTACTGTGCAATCCTCTCACTCATGACTTTGCTGTCTCAGGGTCTTGTTTTGAGTGTTGGTCTACAGGTAGTCCTTGACTTATGACCATTCAGCAACTGTTCAAAGTTCTGGTGGCACTGAATGAAGGGACTTATGACCTGTGCCCAAAGTTATAGCCATTGCAGTGCTTCCATGATCATGTGATCAAATTTGGGTGCTTGGCAACCAGCAGGCACTTACAACCTCAGGGGTACCTCAACTCCCCCCACCCACCTATCTCCCCCATCTATGCCCTTTTGGCCCCCTGCTGCCCTGCGCTCCACTGCCCCAGCTGACCTTTGCCATCTTCTTGCTCCTGCTGCTGATGAGGTGTGCCTGGCCTGGCTGGCAGGCTGGGGCTGGGCTTCGCACTGTGAAAAAAAAAAAGTAAAAAGCAGCCCCTGAGCTGCGGCATGCCAAAAAGCGGTCTCAGCTGCACCTGTGGATTGGAACTGCCCAGGAATTGCAAGGAAAGGATCCAATAGAACTCACCCAAACTGGGGTCTGACTTTGCCACCTCGCCCTTCCCTGCACCTCCTCGCCCCTCTTCACAACCCTCATTCACTTGTTGGGTTTTTCCAGGATAAAAGCACCGGTGCCCCCCCCCCACCTTATCATTAGTTCATTAGTCTTAAGTCTGCAGGCAACAGCTTCCCCGCTTAAAAAACATCTGCTGCCAAAGAAAGACCTGAAAGAAGGAGGCAAACCTGAATGGAGTCTGAACTCCATGCTTTCTCCCCCCCAGCCCAACCCTCCAATTTGGAAGAAGGACTTCAAAGAGGGTTCGGGCTTTGGGTTCCTTGCAGCCAACGAGTGCATGACCGGGGCTTGCTAGCAGAGCAAACACAGCCTCCCACATGGAGCGCCATTCCTGCAAGGGTCACCGCCACCTTTTTTGTCTCCCTGTCCAAGGGGAGAGCATCTGTCCCTAAAAGGCCTCGCTCAGGTGCGGATTCAACTCCTGCAAGATGCAGCATGAAAAGGCACCAAAGAGCATTTGCCCTGGGAAGCTCCTTTGCTTGCAAAAAACAAAGGGGCTTTTTGGCACACCGCGGCTCAGGGGTTGCTTTTTGCTTGTTTTTTTTTTTCCACAGCTTGAAGCCCAGCCCCAGCCAGGCTGGGCATGCCTCATCAGCAGCAGGAACAAGAAGACAGCGAAGGTCAGCTGGGGTGGTGTAGCACAGGGTGGCAGGGGCCTTGGAGTGCAGGGTAGCAAGGGTGACTGCAGCATGGTTCTGGGGCTGCTTGCTGCACAGGATGGCCAAAAGGGCAGAGATGGGGGGGAAGATAGGTGGGTGGGGGGAGTTGGAGGCAGTCCCTTACCTTACTGAGGCTTGGGGCTGGGAGCAACCACGCCTGGAATGGCTTGGATTGGGGTGAGTACCCATTTAGCAATCCGCGATTCTCAGTTAAGGACAGCAACCGGGACTGATGGGATTGCCATTGCTAAGCAATGTGGTCACATGACAGCTCACTTCATGACCGTATTGTTTAGTGATGAAAATTCCAGTCCCAGTTGTGGATGTAAGTTGAGGACTACATGTAGTGCTCTTTTGAAAATGCACTAAATCCATGTCAAAACAAGCCCACCTAGCAGCTGATAGACTGGAGGAGCTGTCCATTTAAAACCAGAGCCATTCTTGCTTTACAGGGAGCCCCCACGCCCATATATCAACTATCCACTGCCTATAGCTGTATCAGATTTTGATCACTGGCTAAATCTATGGGCCTAGCCATTTGCCA